GGGTGTGGGTCTGGAGGGGATTACAGGGATAGGGAGGGGTGTGGGTCCGGAGCGGATTACAGGGATAGGGAGGGGTGTGGGTCTGCAGTAGATCACAGAGATAGGGGGGTTGTGGGTTTGGAGGAGATTGCAGAGGTAGGGAGAGGTGTGGGTCTGGAGGGAATTACAGAGGTAGATGTAGTGACTCTGAATTTTAAAATTTACATAATCCTTCTGAGGGTGAATATTCGAAATAAAATAAAACTCCAAATAGTTAATGGGTATAGACAATAACTAGGAAAGAGAATAGAAACAACCATTTTAATACACAGGGGAAGGTGTAATTTTGACATCATCACATGGGCAAAGTGAGAGATTGAGGAACACTTTGATGTAGAACATTATGATCCCAACATGTGAATGGAACAGAGCCCCTCCATCCCCACTCCCCACCCCACCATTTGGCATTGCCTGTTATTGGCTGAATTTGAAAAGTTATCTATTGTTTTGGGAGAACAAGGTTCCCTCTAATTTAAATTCATTTCTGAAGAAGGGTCTAGACCTGAAACGCCAGCCTTCCTGCTCCTCTGATGCTGCTTGGCCTGCTGTGTTCTTCCAGCTCTACACCTTGTTATCCCTCTAATTTAAAACGAGATATATTTGATGCTGGAAATCTGACTCAAACACAGAGAAAACTGGAGAAACGTGGCAGGTCAATCAGCATCTGAGGAGAGAGAAAAACAGACTTAAAGCTTCCAGCCTGGTATGACTTGAGTCCCATTCTGAAGGGGAGTTGTACCAAGCTCGAAACATAAACTGTTTCTTTGCTGCCAGACCTTGTTGAGTTTCTCCAGCACATTCTGTTTTGTCTGAGGATGTAGCCTCCATAGCTCTCACTTTGAGCTGCTGCAGACATTCTCATTCACCGGCTGAGCCCAGATTATTTTTACAGTCTTCTGCTATCCACAGACTTGATCTGATTTGAAACTTTACTCCTGGCCAGTCTGCACATTAGCAGGCTTTTGTCAGAGTGACATTAGCAGTTGATTAACATGACTGCAGTGAGCAGGAGGAAATGTAATCAGCTCTTGTGCACCAGCATTGTCCCCGAGCTGGACTGAGAGGTCAGCAAATGTGCAGACACCGTTAATGGGCAGTCAATGTTCTGCTTTCGAAAGAAAATGAAAGATAGTGAAATAAGACTAGCTGCTGTTTCCCCTCCATTGTTTTGACTCAATACACAACTATATTGTCATGTCTCTGCACAGTTAACTGTTGAACCATCTCATAGAGTCTTTGAGGTCTACAGCGTGGAACCAGGCCCTTTGGCCCAACTTGCCCATGCCACCCAATTTTTCGCAATTGGACTCACCTCATTTGCCCACATTTGGTCCATATCTCTCCATACCAATCCCATCCATGTAGCTGACTAAATGTATCCTAAATGACAAAATTTGTACTCACCTTCACCACTACCTCTGGCAGCCCATTCCAGACACTCACCACCCTCTGTGTGAGAAAGCTGCCCCCTGGACCCTTTTGTATCTTCCCCCTCTCACCTTAAACCTATACGTTCTAATTTTAGACTCCCCCTACCATGGGGAAAAGCTGTTGGCTATCTACCTTATCCATGCCCCTCATGATTTTATAAACTTCTATAAGGTCACCCCTCAGCTTCCTGTGCTCCAAGTAAAAACAGAGCCAGCCTATCCAACTTCTTCTTATAATTCTAACCTATCAGTCCAGGAAGCATCCTAGTCAATCTTTTCTGCACTCTTTCTAGTTGACTAGCATGCTTTCTATAGTTGGGAAACCAGAACTGCACACAGTGCTCTAAATGTGACCTTACCAATATCTTGTACAGCTGCAACAAGATGTCCCAACTCCTATACTCAATGCTCTGACCGATGAAAGCAAGTGTGCCGAAAGACTCTCACATCTCGTCCACCTCTCACAGCCTCTGGGTTCGAAAGCCTAACATTGGTCACACGCATTGGAGGCAAAGGGTGTTGTTGTGAGGACAGATGGAGCCCAGCTCTCCGTGCACCACCCTGCAGTAGAATAGCCAGCAGACAGACTTTGCCACCTAGGTGGGGATAGGCTCGAACATTTCCCCATCTCAGCTTCCAAGAAGCGAGCAGTGGATAGAACAATTTGTGGGTTCAGGAAAGCGCAGGGCAACCACTGAATCACAGAGTTGTTACAACACAGGAGGAGGCCATTCAGCCCACTGCACCTGCCCTGGCTTTTCGCATGAGCATTATTACCTACTACCAAGATCCCGCTCTTTCCCCATACCCTTGCACACTATTCCCAACCAAATAATCATCCGATGACCCTCCTGAATACGTCAGTTGAACCTGGCTCCACCACATTTCCAGGTACTGCATTCCAGACTGTAACTACTCGCTGTGTGAAAAAGATTTTTCTCCCGTTCATTTGCACATCACTTTAAATGCAGTCACACACGGTCACACACACACACACACACACACACACACACACACACACACACAC